GAGCCCTGACTGGCAAGCCAATTAAGACAGTGTTTTGACCATGCCACGCCAGATATAAGTCATCTAGCTACAGTTTTGATTGTACTGGTAGCTGTAGAAATAAAGACTATGTCTAAGAGAGTCGTACTCTGGCTTAGAAAAGGACAAAGAAAATATCATTTTCAACAGAAACAAGTTGGAAATACCCCAAAGATTCATTGCTGGGAAAATCCCCATTATGCAAATTATTTGATCTTTAATGCTATGGAGTCACTGAAATTTATAATTATGCTAAGCAGGTAATGATGAGAAAACTAGGCTTAATAGTATTTAAGAAAAAACGAGGACACAGAATTATATATTGTATACATTTCTAATAATGTTTTAAGAAGGAGAAAGGTAAACTGTAGACAGATAAATTTTTAAAACTGAAATATTAAAACTCTCATATTGAGGGCCAGGGATATAGCTAAGGGGCACAAGCGCCTGCCTGGCTAGCACAAGGTTCCAAGTTCAATCCCTAGTACTGAAAAAACAAACAAATTAACTAACTAACTAACTAATAAAATCCTAATACTGAGGATGTTAGGAAGAGCAGGTAACACATGTCTCTTACCTACAATTTGGGTTAAGAGAAAACCAGAACAATAAAATAAAATACAGAGCACTGTTGGACTCAGAAAGTGAAAGTTGGAAGTTAGGCTGAGAAGAAGACAAATGGGTCTACAATGAGTCTGCCACTCACACTGGTGGTGCCTTAAAATGCATAGTCACAAGTGGTGCTGACCTGGTGAATGACAGAATAATCCTTCAAAAAGATCTAAAAGGAAAGAAGTAGTAAATTGTTATACATTAGACATTTGAACAATATTTAGACAATAGTTCCTAAAAACACAGGTAATTGTTATAAGAATGTGCTCAAATATGAAAAACACTTTCATTCTATGAAAACAAAAGTGTAGTTACTCCTGCACAGAGTCAGTTTGTCACTATGGAATTACATCACATGTGATGTCATAATCTGACATCCAAATGAAGAGCTAGACAGAGAAAAACAGGAAAGGGAGCTGGGGAGGTGAAAACCTGCATAACAACAAAAGAATTCCCCTACTAAAAAAATGAGTCAAACATCTCTGAAACAGAAAAAGAAGGTCAGTGAATTGAATGCCCTAGAACCTTACAAAGAAGCTCAGGAAATGTAAATGTCAGTCTGTCCTTCCCCTCTGGAAATGCTCTGCAAATACTAATAATTGTTCAGGTAATGGTTACATGTAGAAGAAAACAGAAGATAAGGAATGAAATTAGTGGAAAAATAGAATAAAGCATATAGTGTAAGTCAATGTCATTGGCCAACATTTACTAAAAAATACTCCAGGCTGTCTGAGGGTTGCACAGCCTGGTTGGACCAAGGATACATAAACCGAATACAACTCAGCATGCAGTTCAGTTCACACCAAAGGCACAGGAAACAGGAATGTCAAACTGAGCTGAGTTTGGAAGATGGACAGAGGAGGTGGTTTCAAGGCAATGAAGGTGGCACTTAGGCAAACCCATCTCACTTGGCAGAAAGAGGTGAATATACCCGGTGGAGGCAGAAGAGAATATGTCACAAAACTCCCGTGCTAGTGGTGGTAAGTCAATGACACACCAGCTGCAATGTTTTTCTTTTAAAACAGAAAATCTAATGTAAGAGGGTTTTTTTTTTTTCCTGAATAAAAGCCTTTGTATTCAGGTTTAATTTGTGATAAATGAGTGGGCTTTGGATTGTAGTTCAGACAATTGGTCTCTAAAAAATTCCCTATCACTGTCCTAATCTGTTTGACCTAGAAAATAAAAAGCATAATTAGATTTACATTTTATTATATATTGGGAAGACCTAGAAGTAAGGAAGATTTGGGGCCTTACCTAACCAAAAGGCTAGCTCCTAAAAATGAATATCTAAGGCCCAGATTAAAACAACAAGAGTAGAGAAGAATTAGATTTAAATATCTTTTGTAGTTAGAAGTGACCGAATACTATGGTGACAGGTATGGTGAGTATGAAGGAATGCTGGAAATAGTCTCAAATGAGTCAGTCCAGGAGCCAAGCCACTCTCTGCAATCACATTCCCATATGACGCACACCTCTGAGATATTTCTATTGGAAGACACAGAGCATAAATGGATGAGAGAATATGGCTCTGGGAAAACTTCATTCTAAACATGGAACTCCTTGAACAGATAGAATTAAACCAGGTATACCGGCATACATTTATAATCCTGAGGCTTAGGAGCTTAGGTAGAAGGACCCTGAGTTTGAGGCCAAGCCAGGCTACACAGTGAGCTCAAAGTCAGCCTGAATAATGTAGTAATGACCCTATCTCAAAAAAGCCAAAATAGCTAAATAAATAAATAAATAAATAAATAAGGGCAATACTCATTTAATCACGCTGATGCTGCCGAGTCAGTAGCAAGAATGTAAGAAGTGCTCCACTAAGGGCCTGCTCTAATAAAAAAAAAAAAAATTAAAAATTAAAAATTAAAAATCTTTGACTAGGGTTCCATAAAATGAGTCAGTCATCTTCTCATCTCCTGTTCAGCTTTCCTTATAAATTTGTCAGTATCAAAGTCCTTCTCTGCTCTAGATACTGTGAATAATCTGATCCTAAAAATCAAAGAGACATCTATCAATAATTTGTACAGGACAAGGCTCCTTGTTTAAAAAAAAATCAGACTAAGGTTGGTGAGGCACAACTGCTCAGAACACTGACTATAATTCTAAGGAAACTGGAAGTTTTGATTCTACATGACAAAATCTCCATAGGGAACAATCTGCTGAATAATGGAGAATATAAAAATTACTTTGTGCAAACAGCTTTACGTTAAAGCCAACTCATGCTGAGCCCTGGAAAATTCACCCATAGCAGTTGCCATGTAATCATTTCTAAGTAGCAAATGCCTCCTACCTTGAAACTACAAACTGGGCAGGCCAAATAGCTCAGCGGATTAAAAAGTGCCTGTAAGTAGGCACAGGGGCTGCTGTGCCAACCCCGTCCCCCCCCCCCCCGGGGGGGGTGAGATGGCAATTGAGACTGAGCATGGTGGTGCTCGCCTGTAATCCCAGCTCTTAGGAGGCTGTAATCAGGTGGATCACTATGAGTCTGATCTAGTAGTGAGACCCTGAACACCCTGTAGACCCTTCCCTAAAATACAAGAAAAAAAAAAGTAAAGAAACTACAGACTGACACATCTCTATGAAATTTGTGTAATTCTTGCTTATAAATGTGTTATTTTTATTCATGCTTGTTAGATCAGGGAGAAAATGTCTAAAGTCTGATACACGCAAAAAGACAAAAAAAAAAAAAATCTAGGTTTATTATTTTATTCCCAATCTCAAACTTTTCTAATGCCCTTGAGATTAAAAATGAACATTCTTTGTTTCCATATTAAGAATGAGCCTGGGACGAAGTATTCAAAAGAGAGTCTAGACTCAGAAAAGAGGCGGGAATCTGAGAAATCTGGCGTCCGTCTGAGCACTCAGGTGAGCCGATCTCCGCAGCTGCGGTGAGCCAGTTACAGAGGGGGAGCACCCTAGACATTCCCAGGACCAGACTCGCTCAAACCAAGCTGGGGACATCTGTGTCCTCAGAAGGGTAAGGTGATTTGGGAAGCCCCACTCGTCCACAGACCCAGTCCCTCCAGAACAAGCAGCACAGAAAGGAGCAGGATCTGCTCTGCCTAGGTGCGGATCAGGGTGGGAGTGGAGTCATCATTGCACTGACCATTTTCTGCACAATCTTTCAGATGAGGCATGCAGGCAATCCGAGTCACTCGCTGAGATGTTGCCCCATGCGGGGTCACCCGTCGTGTAGACGCTGCCTCTGTGCAGCTGGGGGAGCTGGCCCCTGCCGCTCAGCACGTGTTTATATTCACATGTGCCTTATGTGGGAGCAGGGCCAGCAGACCACCATGATCAGGGTGAGCAGCGACTGCAGGGCTGATTGGGAGGGCAGCCGCAGGCCCCTGGGAGGGAGAAGATTTGGGAACAGAAGCACTTCTACTTTCTCTCTATGGTCTTCAAGAGAGGGCAGAGGCTCCCTGTCCTTAGATGTAGCACCTCACAGCCCCCTGCTGCCGTGGTCTGCGCCAGCAGCCATACCTTTGCTGTCTGATCATTGCGCCAGACGTTTCTTTTTTAGCATCGGTGAATAAGTTCATCCTAAAGACAGAGTGTGGGCCTGGGGAGGAGATGGTCCACCCTACTAAATTCCAGAGAAGAGTCACAGGTGAAGACAGATGAGGACCACACTTGCTTCTTTCTTAGTTTCCGATGTTCTTCTGGGTGGGCTCTCCACTTTAATTCAAATGGAAGTTAGGATTCAGCCAGAACCAGGGCTGGACAAGAGGTCTGAAGCTGAATTAAGGATTTGAAAGGCCAGAGGCCTTTGCACTGATTGTTGCTGTTATCCCTGGCCCAGGCATTGCAGGGAAGGCACTTGTGGGATAGCGCTGAGAAATTACACTCTGGGTGTCTTCTTTCCTTGACAGGGATCCCAAGAATTATCCATACCAAAGACCAATTCTCGAGGGCAAGTTGCGCGAAACCAGTGGTCCCGCACATCAGGAAGCCCATCCAGCAGGCCTCCGTCTGTAGATGAGTCCAGAAGCAGGAACACCAATCATAAGGTAGAGCTAGAGAAGCCAGGAGGAGAGGAAGAGTGAGGATGATGTGTCCACGTGCCAGCGTCCCACACTCTAAGTGCTTGACTTGTGTTAAGGGACTCAGCCCTATGAGCACTGTGAGATAAGTCTCATCTCGCCATGGAGAAAGCTGAAGCGCTGATAACAGCTTAGCCTCACACTCCAACTCTCTAGGTCTAGGGTCTGGGCACATTCTTCTTCCTCCTGTCACCCCTTCAGCAAATGCTAACCATGGCTCTCAGAAAAAAGGGTAGCAAAGTCAACCATGCCCATGCAGATGCAGAGAGTAACCCACAGATCTATTCACAAGCAGTCCACCCATCTCGGTCAGGTTTGCCTAATAATCTCACCAAGGGTATCTCTTCTGAATGACATATTAAAGAACTCTAAAACAAAAACTAAGTATGTATTCCCAACAAGGTCTTGCACACTTTAGTAATGCGGCCCTTTCACTAGAATGACTCGTTCCTACTTGTGGAAATCATCCTTCCCTGCTGAGCAGGCCTCTGTGTAGGTGTGGGGGAGAGACTTGATCCGTGGCCTACCACCTGGCCAGCACTTACCCACCAGACCCAGGGTCAGATCCTCCAGGGTGCTGGCTGAGGCCTCAGACCTACACCATTTCTCTTGCCCAGCATCCCTCCAGCTCCACGACCTCCAGGACGTCCTCAGCCTCACCCAGCCAGCATGAAGAGTCTCCACCGCCACCCCCTCTATCAGTGCAGCCCTCTCCGCAGGTGCCTACCACGCCGGCGCCCACCCCTACGGTCCCATCGCTCAACTCGCTTTCCTTCAGTGCCCCAGACTACGAGACCCCCCGGCGCAGCAAGATGCGTGAGAACCCAGAGGCCTGGGCAGAGAGCATCGTGCGAGACTTACGCGAGCCCCGGGACTCACGCTCACAGCCCTGTGATTACCCGGTGACACCGCCCACAGAGTGGCGCTCCTATGCGCAGCGCCGCCTACTCTATGGTTCCAATGAGCTGGACCGCGACTGCCTGTCGGAGCTACAGCCTAAGCAGCTGCCCAAGGGGCAGACTGCATGCGGGGAGCAGGAGCAGGAAGAGGAGGAGACAGAAGAGGCCTACTGGGCTTCTGTGAAAAAGCTGTATGAGAAGATCCCCAGCTGCGCGCGCCCCAGGCCGGTGAGCACCTCCCTCCCGCTGGCACCGGGCCTTGCCCTGGGGTGGGGAGGCCTCCTGCTAGCCTATATGGAACTCTGCCCACCCCACCCCCACCTGTCTCTGCCGCAGTCCTCCACTCCCCAATCCTTTGCAGCCCAAGCCCAAACACGCCATAACCATCGCAGTCTCCTCCCGGGCCCTGTTCAACATGGTGGAGGACAGACGCATCTACGAGAAGGAGGGTTTGGAGAAGTACATGGAGTACCAGCTCACCAATGAGAACGTGGTCCTCACCCCTGGCCCTGCCTTCCGCTTCGTCAAGGTAGTCCTTCTCCAAGCTGCCTGTCCAACAACTTGTTCTGACAGTGCCTAGATGATCGCGCCTTCCCGGGTGTATTTTCACTGAGACTCTTGAGGAAAGGACGGTACTGCAGCCCCAGATTTGGGGTGCAGGTTTCCCTAAGTGGAGCCGTGGCCCATAGACCTGTGCAAACGCCTCCAGCCCCTCCACTGAAGAAATGCACAGAAACCGCCATGAGTTTACCATCCTAGGCACTAGAAATAAAAAGCCTTATTAAAAGGGGATGGGCTTTGTAAGAAGGTAAGAAAATCAAGCTGCCATTAGGGATACGAATGTGTTCTGAACCGTGTAGCCCTTATAAGTGACCCCCTATGTAATGTACAATCATTCCTCAGTGACATCAGAAACATGCAAAAATAAATGGCATCTCCACAAATTGTGAAGTGGAAGTACTTGTGGGACATGGTGGAAACATGGGAGGAAACCACAAACCAATTCCAAAGACCAATGTTTACAAAGTAGAGAAAGTGCTCCCTTCTGCAGCACATATGCCAAGATCGGAACAATAGAGATCTGGGCCAGGGTGGCCGCTGTGTGTGAGTGATGTGTACGTTTCTGAAAAAGTCCCTGTTTTTGACAATAAAAATGACCATTAGATGGTCAATAAAGGCAGACTTTATAAAGTAAAACAGAGCCTGCAAGGGCTAGCTTGGTACTTCTCTCTACCTGTCTCCCAGAGGTAATTCGAGCAAACTGAAGGTTGTCCCAGTCTTCAGCAAGCATGCTATGCAGAGAACCAAGGGCCTCTGAAAGAAGCAGAATGCTGAACTGAATGGCCCACCCTGCCTGATCTCTGAGTGGACGCCTTGAGTTCCATCTTCCCCCAGGAGGTGCTGTCCCCCACCCTCCCAGGCCTATCTTGGGGCCCTTTTTACATCCTTCACATTTGTAACCCACAGGCCCTGCAGCATGTCAATGCTAGGCTGCGTGAGCTGTATCCTGATGAACAGGACTTATTTGATATTGTACTGATGACTAATAACCATGCCCAAGTGGGAGTGAGGCTTATAAACAGCGTCAATCACTATGGTAAGTAAAATAAATACCATGTGGAAGGCCGGCCTGCAGCTCTGGAGGAGAGAAGCCATGTTATTTTGCTAACTGTGGCCTAAGCAATGCAGTGTCTTTGATACTGACACCCCCTTCCGCGTGAGGAATGTTTATTTGCCTATGTCAGAACAAGAAAGGCCATGTTCATTTTTAACTTCAGCACACAGTTGGGCTCAAAGCTCTGGATTTAACTTGTCAAGTGTGAATTTCAAAGTCTTAATCCCAGGTCCTGCAATATATTTCTCTGTTTTATGTTTTTCACTTCTGAACTTGACTTCAAGGAGCTGTCAACCCAAAGGCTTTCTCTGTATGATCAAACTTCTTGCTCACCGCAGATCCATGTTAAGGGTTTAAAGGTTTTCACCGCTCCTTTCCACTCTTAAAATCTGATTCTCCCAGCTGTTCTCTCCCACACATCAAATCCTTACTCAAGCCAGGAAAAACTGTCTTATTCCTTTACATGGAAAATTTGATTGGCTCTATCTCCAGAGCATTTCAGTGTATTACTTTTTCTTCAATCTTTATTTTTCCTACTGTGAAATGCCTCACTTATTATTTGAGACACACTCATTCTCTTTCCTAAGTGACAGATCCAGTCTATTGGATATGTGAAATCAAAATCAGATTTAAACTGTGCACATTTCAAATTGGGGTTGCAGATGACCATATTTGTAAACGATCAAGCGGTATTACCAGCTACTATGTTTTGATTTTGTACTACTATAATTATAAGGTTGATACCTTACTGAAATACATTTTTAATGATTTTAGCTTTTAAAAATACAGCTTCCTAGTGTTACAAAGTAAAAGAATATGCATACAAAAGGCTGCACAAAGGTGTCATGTGATAATTGCTCTACAAATGAAAATATTACTTTAAACATGCAGATTCTTATGTACCTCTGTCCTTACCCCTGCTCAGCTCACTGGGGCTGGAAGCTTGTGGAATCAGTTGTTTAACTCTGATTTCTGGTCATTGACCCTTGAGCACAACCCTCTTTATAGAATAACAACCTTTCACCCCAATGAGTTAGTTATTTCCCTTTTTCTGGTGCTGAAGGCAACTTGTAACTCTCTCTGATGTGGCCTTTGTTCTAATTAACTTTTTACATGCCTCACTTCTCCACGCACTGTGATCTCCTTCTGAAGAAGGACAATGTTTTAATTATTTCTGAGGTCCAAGTGTCATCAAGTATTTTCAGGATCATTAAAATAATATTATTTCAGGATTTATAGCCTACTTTTATGTCACATATGGCCAACACTGCCTTAAGTGAAAAGTGAGAATATTTGGTTAACACCAAAGAATACATTCACTCCACTACCTTGTCCATGACTCCCCTCTACTTCCTTGGCCCAAAGCAACACTGAATATCGACCTAACTCAGATGTCCTCATATATCATGTGTAACTGTCCAGTTTATCATATATATATATATAT